CACGAGCAAAACATGATCAGCACCAAGACTCCATGGGTGTTAGAATCATCACAATGTAATCCAAATTATTGACACTAGTGCAAGTGGGAGATTGAAGGAAATATGCCCTAGAGGCAATAATAAAGTTGTTATTTATATCTCCTTATATCATGATAAATGTTTATTATTCATGCTAGAATTGTAATAACCGGAAACTTAGTACATGTGTGAATACATAGACAAACAGAGTGTCACTAGTATGCCTCTACTTGACTAGCTCGTTAATCAAAGATGGTTAAGTTTCCTAGCCATGGACAAAGAGTTGTAATTTGATGAACGGGATCACATCATTAGAGAATGATGTGATTGACTTCACCCATCCGTTAGCTTAGCACTTTGATCGTTTAGTTTACTATTATTGCTTTCTCCATAACTTATACATGTTCCTATGACTATGAGATTATGCAACTCCCGAATACCGGAGAAACACTTAGTGTGCTATCAAACATCACAACGTAACTGGATGACCATAAAGATGCTCTACAGGTGTCTCCGATGGTGTTTGTTGAGTTGACATAGATCGAGATTAGGATTTGTCGCTCCGTGTATCGGAGCGGTATCTCTGGGCCCTCTCGGTAATGCACATCACTATAAGCCTTGCAAGCAATGTGACTAATGAGTTAGTTACAGGATGTTGCATTACGGAACGAGTAAAGAGACTTGCCGGTAATGAGATTGAACTAGGTATTGGGATATCGACGATCGAATCTCGAGCAAGTAACATACAGATGACAAAGGGAACAACGTATGTTGTTATGCTGTTTGACCGATAAAGATCTTCGTAGAATATGTAGGAACCAATATGAGCATCCAGGTTCCGCTATGGGTTATTGACCGGAGATGAGTCTCTTTCATGTCTACATAGTTCTTGAACCCGTAGGGTCCGCACGCTTAACGTTCGGTGACGATTGGTATTATGAGTTTATGTGTTTTGATGTACTGAAGGTAGTTCGGAGTCTCGAATATGATCACAGACATGACGAGGAGTCTCGGAATGGTTGAGACATAAAGATCGATATATTGGAAGGCTTGTTTGGACATCAGAATGGTTCCGGGTGAGTTCAGGCATTTACCGAAGTACCGGGGGGTTACCGGGACCCCTCGGGGAGTATATGGGCCTTAGTGGAAAAGAGGAGAGGAAGACCAAGGTGGAGGGCGCGCCCCCCTAGCCCAATCTGAATTGGGTGGGGGTCGGCCCCCCTTCCTTCCCTTTCTCTCCCCTTTCCTTCTCTCCTACTCCAACAAGGGAAAGGAGGAGTCCTACTCCTAAGTAGGACTCCCCCCTTGGGCGCGCCATAGAGGGCCGGTCCTCCCCCTCCTCCACTCCTTTATATACGAGGGAGGGGGCACCCAGAGACACACAAGTTGATCTCTTAGCCATGTGTGGTGCCCCCTCCATAGATTTCCACCTTGGTCATATCGTTGTAGTGCTAAGGCGAAGCCCTGCGTCGGTAACTTCATCATCACCTCATCACGTCGTCGTGCTGATGAAGCTCTCCCTCAACACTCAGCTAGATCTAGAGTTCGTGGGACGTCACCGAGCTGAACGTGTGTAGATCGCGGAGGTGCCGTACCTTCGGTGCTAGGATCAGTCGGATCATGAAGACGTACGACTACATCAATTGCGTTGTCATAATGCTTCTGCTTACGTTCTACGAGGGTGCGTGGACAACACTCCCCTCTCTCGTTGCTATGCATCACCTAGATGGATCTTGCTTGTGTATAGGAAAAAATTTAAATTACTGCGTTCCCCAACAAAATTACCATACATGGATATTCCCCCTTCAGTGCTGCCAACAATCATGTTGAAAAAATTGAACTCTGTCCAGGATCCTTTTCCCGACCATAGTGCTTTGGACATTGGGGGGACCAATGATTCTTCGCATTGCAAACCCAACAATGATCCTTCTCTTTGTCCTTAGTTTGTCCCCTTTTGGCCTTGTTCTTGAAGTTGGTATTCCTGGAGACTACATTCTTTCTTTGAACTCATGGCATTTTTCTGCACTATATCGGGTAGCAAAATGTCCCTCTGCTCCTTTAGCTTTTGTGTGCTTTGTCCTTGCCTTATCTTCAACATCCAAAAATCCAATGAGAATCTAGATATAGATCTCTTGTCTTTGGTGTTTCAGAGAAGTGGCAAAGTTCATCCACAAAGGAGATAGCTTAGCAACAATACTCCCCAGAACAAACTTGTTGGGCAACACGCACTTAGGGAATGTTTGGTTCATGGGAAAGCGCTCGCCTTGCCCAGCCAAGCAAGAAAGCCAGTGATTTGTTTCTTGGGAAATCTCGTCTCGTTGCCCATACTTTCCAGATTTCCTTCGTTTTACCAAGCGAGCCGATTTGGCTAGCCTCCGACGGCAAGGCAAGCCTTGGCTAGCGAGGTTAACGGGCAAAGGAACCAAGCAAACCTGTAATGAGCTCGAGTTCGTTTGCCATCCACTGCAGCTCATGAGTTTGTTCGACCACAAAAGGGTTCTCAACCATTCTTTAACCATCTAAATACTCTGCAACACATAGTTCACCACCGACATCGATGGTGCCAGACTTGGATTCAAGTGCATCCCACTGTTCTTTTGCATTCTGCATATGTAAATACGCATCAACCAAAATGTTACCCAATACACTGATGAGATCACCCACAAAGATTATGGTGGCTCCCAAGAATTGTTAGAAAATTAGGCATATTGTGATTAAGCTTAATCCATATTAGCATCATCATAAGATTACTAATAGGGCATAACGCATACGACATACTAGGTACATCTAGCACTACGCATATGGAACAATGACACATGTCAACAGAGAGAGGGTCAGAACATACGAGTTCACCGAAAGCTCTAGTGCAACAACATTCATCGGACATGGTGCTGAAGATGAGGTGAACACCTGCCATAGAAGAAGTAGTCGAAGCAGGCGGACGAACATCAGGAAAGTAGTCAAACTTGAGCGAGCAATCGCGCCAAGACGCTCCTCGAAGACCGTATGACCCTCACCCATTGTAGGTTCTCAATAGACGCCGTTTCAGAGACCTGCTCTCACAGACGACTATGCATGCATTCGCTAGAGATGCACCTCAACACATGGAACTCGGCTAGAGTGTGTTCTATCTACAACTGTGTTTGTTCTGTGTAGCCTCTCTCCTTTATTTTTTTCCTTCTACATAGAGACGACGTGTGGGATAGTGTAAAGATGCAACTGACACAGCGTGGAAGAACTCTTTGGAAGTATAAAATGTGTCTATGGTAGTATCGACACATACAACCAAAGTTGTATCACTGGTCCACTCCTAAGCAAAAATTTAGTTCTTCCAACAAAGCGCACAACATTAGCCCGAACTCAATTCACGCGACGCGTGGTGTGGCGTGAAGCGTTGAAGGAGCAGTATAACAACTGGCATTTTTATATTGGTGCTACTCTTCCTCAACTTGTAATACGGTACTAAATATACACGCTTGAGATGCAATTCAAATGCCCATTAAAATTTTCGAGTTTTAACTGTTGAGATACAAAATATAGTGGGCAGACGCCCACAAAAAAGACAAATCAGACGTGAACAATGTGATTTTCAAAAGTTTCTCAGACATCCAAAAATTGTTTGTTTTGCCACGAGCACCTCGAATGTTCAAACTTCACAAAATTTTGTACGGAGTTCACGCACATGAACATCTTGCACCATAATTTTTTTTAAAATATTTTGTATTTTTTCCCCTTCAAATCATGGTACTGTTCATGCCCGGGCACCAAATCGCCTCTCTCCAGCTTGGTTCACTAAACTATTACCGACATCAACCTACAAGAGGCGCACTTGCGGAATCGATGTTAAGTAGAGACTCGGGTAGATGCAAAGCTCAGGAGGAAGAATCTCCAAACCATCATGAAGATCCCAAGCCCGACGATCGAGCACTCAACTTACACATTGCTGGATTTGTTTTTTCTCTTCTTCCTCGAGCGTGATCGTCCTGCGCTCCTGCTCAAAGTCGGTCGCGGAGCACGAACTAGCCGCCCGCCCGTTGTACTACTCCGCGACCTGACCGTCCACGACTAGACAGGTCACTTCTTCTCTCCCCCATTGACGCCTCCGAGAGTTTTGTATTCGAAATTGCTGTATGGACGACATAAACCAGCCGATCCGTGAACGATGGGAGGACTCAACGGTGATGTTCACTTTTGGACTACGCATGGATGGCTGGATGCCCTGCATCGTCTGCAAGTCGTCCGAATATGTCGTCTGTGTAGCAGCTCTCTTTTGTATTCGGGGCAGTTAACTGCGCACGTTCCCATGCACGTTACGGGCGAGCATAGTTTAGCTGGCCGTCCCACTGGCGCCTCCCCGGGACAGTACAGCCTCCCCCTTCTTCCCCGCGCGCCATGTGATTTCCCTTCCCCACCTCCTCCTCCCCCTCCTCGGCATCGATCTCCACGTAAAAGATCTCTCCGATCTGCACAAAGGCTACGGCGCCTCCTCCTCGTAAGCGCGCTGCCCGCATTAATTCCCGCTTGGTTAACTTAGCCGACTATAAAGCCGGGCCCGGCCATGGGCGAGCCTCCTTGTACCGGGGCGCAGGGTCAAACACTCCATCCTCCTCGCTGTTCGCAAATCTGATCGACGCCGCCTGCGACCTTGCTCACATTGTAAGTTTTAGGGGGGGTGGGGATCGTCGATTTGCTCCATCGACTTGTTGATGGTTGCCCATCTTGCTCTGCAACTGCTTTTAACCTTTTGTTTTCTAGTAGTTTCAGAGATCCAGAGCTTGGCCACCTACCTCTGTCTCCATTTCTTTACTAACTTCTGTTCATCCTTTGCTGCTGTGTCCAGATCCAGCATTTCTTGATCGATCAGCTCTCAATAGTTTCTTATTTCTGATCCACATCCATGCTCACGCTGTGCATCTAGGTTATTGTTCTGACGGTACATGTCCATGTCAGTGACATGATCCCCTGCTTTTTCATGCGCAGAAATGGGGTGTGGCGCCTCGGTCCCCAACGGGAAGGGCCGGAAGCGCCGGAGCGTCGTACAGGAGGTCGCCGTGTTCATCCCGACCATCCGTGTCCCGGTGGCCACCGACGTGGTCCAACCGCTCAGGGGACTGGTTTCCAAGGAGCTCGTCGATCGCCTCGCGACGCTCCGTTCCAACGTCGTCGCGCTGGCTGAAGATATCTGTATGTCGATCATCACCTTCACCGTTCTTTGTCTTTCCTGGTTAACTTACCGGCCATTTAGATTACTTGACTAATGACGAGTGAGTACTGAGTAGTAAGAATTATGTGCCTATTATTTTTCTGAACTGTTGAATTTGTATGAAGATCATGGGGATATGTCGGCTGTCTCTGAACTGCAACGCGCCCTTGAGGAGTACCTGCCTGTTGTTCTTGGATTAACAGCGAAAGGTCTGAACTTCAGCCTATCCTTTATGTGAATTTTAAGTTAGTAGTACTCAATCGCTATTGCCTTTTTGCAGAGAGCCGTCTTGAAGCATCTGTGCAATTCAGCTGGAGGACCATAGACGATGATCAGGTGAGAGTCTATAAAATTCATGCCATACTTATTGGTTGATCAAGACCTGATGAGAGGGGGTTTCATCCAGGAGTGCTGTCTCGCGAGCGCGTGGTACGAAGTACTTTCTGTTGTCCACATGATGGCGATGCTTGCGCTGTTTGAGGCAAACCTCAAACTCATCCCGAGAGACGGCCAAAATGGAGCTGAAAAGAAGGTATCTGAAGGTCAGTTCCATGTATCTACGTTTGATTCAAAGAGACAACACCACTTATGGAGTAGTACTCTTTGCACAGTGATTTTTTTGTTGCTCTGTTCTGTTTAAACTCACAGTGAAATTAATGAAATGGCCTCTTTTTTTGCACCTACTAGATTCAAAGAAGGATGTTGTGGACTCATTGCTCAGGGCATCAGGGTGCTTAGACTACTCCGTGCATCACATACTTGTTCAAATACCTGCACAAATTAAGTATGCACAAAACCTGTGACCAGTTATCAACTTTTACTACTACCACTACCATTGATCAAGTACTCACTTCAGCTCACCTTTGAATTACAGGAAGAGTTTTCCTAGTTACCTGCAGGAAGGTATGCTTGAGGCCATCTCAATTCAGTCTTTGGCTCAGGTACTGTATACTTCAAATTCTGTTTAGATATACATATTCACAATGTGAAGCCAAATTTGCTTATACTATATGATTCTAAAAGCGATCCTTATACTTTACCTATGATGGAAAACAGTGTGTAGAGATACAGCTAGGATTGGCTTCTGAGTGTGAAAAGGCGACGTTGTCGGTGAAGAGGCGGCTAGCCTGCGAGCAAGTCAGCTATTTTTCAAAGGTCTTCTATTCATAACCAATCTCATAACCATAGCAAGTTTCATCAGCATCTTTCATCTTTTTCCTACTGAACTTCTTTTCATACTGGCTTCCTGATCTCCCCGATTCCACAGGCTCACTACTGTCTGTCAGGATGCGACACGAGCGACTCGTATGGGAAGAAGCTTCTGCTCTTCCTCAAGTGGAAATGGATGGACGCCAAGGTTGCCAGAATAACAACTCAAACCCTGAAGCTTCTCATTTGTGATATTATTAACACAATGTTCCATCTCATCACATTTCAGGCAGTAGCATATTACTACCATGCTCTAGTGCTCGACAAGGGGAGCGAGCCGACCAACCATATAAGCGCGGTCTGCTGCCTCTCTGCAGCTGATGACATCCTTGCAGAGAGCAAGAGGGCTTGTCTGAGCTTTTGCCTGGCAAATCCCATCACAAGGTCTGACTGAGAGTTCTGCAAAGATAAACCGTCAGTAATATTGAACTGAATAGAAAGTTAGACATGACACATTCGTTTTTTGATTGAATGTAGGGTGCCTCCTCCTTGGGGCATCATGAAGAACATGCACAAGAAAATTCCAGATGTCGCGTACAAGAAATTCCAAATATATGGGCATCTTTTCGAGCAAGACAAGAAAAGGTAAGTTAAGTCCTCCGGTATCAAGAGAGAACTCTACATTTGAATATGACAGATTCCAAAGTTAAAAGCTTCTTCAATTTTTCAAATACTTTTTATAGCATAATTTCAAATACTTTGACCCAAGGACACGCATGAGAAGCCATTTGTGCATCTTTTTTTTGTTAACTTTGGTTGTTACACCTCCCCTTTCCTGGTGCAGTGCCCTTCAATCCTTGCCCGATCTTCCGGAGTTTCCGCTGTCGCTGAGACCCGAAGACTACGAATTTCCGGGCACCGATTCGATCTGGGAGAATGTTGATTGCCAACCCCAGATTCAGAGCCTCAAGGAGCATCTGGAGGACGACCCAGAAACAGAGGATTCAAAATAGTTCAGGCTCCCGAATGCTTCATTGTATTGTAATCCAGAAAATTAACAGAACTTACACAAGTACTACTAGTTGCAACTTGTAACATGCATGCATAAGGCAGAACAAAATTGAAAACAGAATAGTAGCTGTGCAAGTGAAAATTACTCCATCTGATTGTAAATGTAAACCCTTGGATGTCTTACAGAAGAACCGATAATTGAGCTTTTGCTCCGGTAGCATGTCATGACCAGGCAGTTTTGTTTCGCTAACTGGAGTGTAAAGCATCAAAAGAAGTGTAAAGCGTCAAAAGAAGAGCACAAAATCCCGTAAAATAGATCCATTGTTCCTGATCCTAAGTACCACTAGGTACCACCGCACATGCGTAATCATAAAAAAAAAAATCAGTAACCGTAGCTTGAAATCATAAAGTTTAGGCTACCATCGCAATGAACGAATAACAATTGAACTTTCAAGAATTCAATTATGATAAGGTTGGAAAAAGCGTAGTCGAAAGTGAGGCAGTTGGCCTTAGCCTAGCGCCTAGGTGGCACTTCAGCACCCTAGGCGAACGTATAGTGTTTGGCTATAAGTATTTGGGTTTTATATGTGTATCGATATTGATTTAGATCATATAAGTGAGTAAACTACCAATTTTTACCATTGTATTATGGCTCAGTTGGTATCTTTGTGCAATATGGTCTACTTTATTGCTTGAGTGGACAATTTCATGTTTGCCCTCCTTAGAGTTTTGCTTATGCTCTAGGCAAGGCGTTTGGTCGTTGCGTAGCGCCTAAGCGTGCTTAAGCGTCTCCTAGGCGTTGCCTTTTCCAACAGATTTATGATGGCTTTTGTTTGGCCTCGCATCTACTGATTCTCAAATTCTAGATCTTCCTAAATCAGAATCTCAAACAAACACATCGGATTCTGTTGACACACGAACACGTCACGTGTACCCTCGACACCGGGGGTGATGCACAGCAGCTCACGTCGAAGGAGAGCCGACCGACAGCGCGATACGCAAGACAGTCAGCGGGCGCTTTTGCAGACCCGAAACCCCGCACACCCAGGAGGGACCCCGTCAGGGAGTGCGGCGGCTATGGGCTGCCCTAGGTCGATTCGCTCGCCCCTAGAGCATCGGGATTCGCGGCTCTCAAACTCGAGAAACAACGAAGAACGAGAGAGAAAAACGATGAAGAGATAAAACGTAGATGAAAAAATAGTATATTGATTTGTTCGATTGTGTGTTGTTCAATCGGCCGTCACCGCCAACATATATAAGAGGCGGCTGGACTTCCCGTACAAGATAAGGATTCATCTAGGCTTTCCTTACATGAAAAATTACATTAATTCACGTCCTAGAGTAGTTCCAGTCCAACTCGAATTCAGTCTGAATCTGGCCCAAACTTCTGTCTTCCTCCTTGTGCGGGCCGTCAAGTTTGCATATGACCTCGGATCAAGATGGCCCAAATATTAAATTTGTGCGTCTCGACGAGACGAGCCACTAGTTAACGAGCACTCCTTCGGGAGTCTCATAACGATCAGCGCCACTCGGGGTGTTCTCAGCCATTCACCACGTGTCGCGTTCTGGTCGCTTCCTTCGGATTTTGTTTTTCTTTTCGCACGCGTTTTCGGCTATTTAAACGGTTTTTTCTGGGTTTTTTCGACATTTTGGTTTTTCACCGGTCTTCCTTAGCTTATCGACCAAAGAAAATTGCGCGAAAAAATGAGTTTTCTTTTTTTCCTTTCACAAGAGTCACGGTTTTGCTTTCGCGAGAGGCATGGTTTTGCTTTCGCGAGAGGCATGGCCGTGCCTCTCGGAAATAGAAAAAAACGCATTTTCTCTTTTTTTTCCTTTCGCGAGAGTCACGGTTTTGCTTCCACGAGAGGCATGGTTGTGCTTTCGCGAGAGGCATGGCCGTGCCTCTCGGAAATAGAAAAAAACGCATTTTCTCTTTTTTTTCCTTTCGCGAGAGTCACGGTTTTGCTTCCACGAGAGGCATGGTTGTGCTTTCGCGAGAGTCACGGTCGTGCCTCTCGAAAACGAAAAAAACACTAGGTTTTGTTTTTTTTCTTTCGCGAGAGTCACGGTTTTGCTTCTGCGAGAGGCACGGTTGTGCTTCCGCGAGAGTCACGGCCGTGCCTCCCGAAAATGAAAAAAAAATGTGTTTTCTATTTTTTTTCCTTCGCGAGAGTCACGGTTTCGCTTCCACGAGAGGCACGGGTGTGCTTTTGCAAGAGTCACGGCCGTGCCTCCTCAGAAACGAAAAAAAATGTGTTTTTTCTTTTTTTTCCTTCCACGAGAGTCATGGTTTTGATTCCGCGAGAGGCACGGTTGTGATTTCATAAGAGGCACTGGCGTGCCTCTTTCAGAAAGGGAAAAAACTCGTGCTCCTGATTCGGTTTTTTTGTGAAAAACAAAGTTTGTCAAAACCTATCAACATGGGATCTAGTTTTGAAAATATCGACGTGAGGAATTCAACGGTGAAAACGGTTTGAGATTTGGACGCACGGTTTGAGAGATAAAATGTTTTGAATAAACAGATCTACGAAAAAAGGGAAAACTCTCAGGTTGCAACAAGTGGTGCACTGTGTGCCACTTCTCGCAACCTGGGGAGTTGGAGTGATCTTTGCAACGAATAATCCTCAACTAGTGATTTCGACAACTCTTATGTTGATCATTTTTCCAAACAAGGCCATCTTGAATACTCTATGAAGCCATCTTTAACCTTCAGTCGGACTCGGTCTTGCAGCTAACTATATTGTCCAAGTACCGTAGTGAATTTGCAGGCCGTATACTATCTGAAATGATGACGACTCCAAAACCAAAGTTTACCGTGTTGACGATACGCACAACTTCCATGTTGAACACTTTTCCATCCGAGGTCATCTCGACAATATTTCGGGCACATCTTCAGCTTCTAGTCGGAGCACTCGGATCTCACTCGGATCGTCCGACTGGACTTTTTCACTCGGACGGCAACTTTCACTAGGACGGCAACATTTCACTTGGAAGACAAATCTTTCACTCGGATGACTATATTTTCACTCGGAAGGCAATCTCTTACTCGATCGGCAAGTTTCACTCGGAGGACTATATTTTCGCTCAGATGATAATAAGTTCACTCGGATGGCAAACTTTCACTCGATAGGTAAGTTTTCACTCGTATGGTAAGCTTTCCACTCGGATTTCCTGACTGAAAACATAGCCTGATCTTGATTTGTCTCACCAGGTCTCATACGACCTCGGATTGAGACGAATTATATATGAAAATCGGTCGGCTTGACGAGACAAAACTTTCCCTGTTGAAGGTTTTTCAATGAAAGGCCTTCTTGAGGGACAGAGTGTCTGGTACCTCGCGCCATATTTCCGTTTAAGTTCATTCTGTAGTGTATTGTCTCTAATTTTTACATACAAACTCGGATTGAGATGATTTATATATCAAAATAGATTGCCTCGACAAGACGAAGACAATTACTTTAGAATGCTCCTTCATTTGAGGTCGTCTTGAAGGCGTGATCGGCTGAAAACCACTCGGAACACTGAATTCTGTCACTCGGAGTACAATTTCGATCCCTAAGATGGGTTCGGATGATGATAACCTAAACATCAAAGTGAAGGAAATATGCCCTAGAGGCAATAATAAAGTTATTGTTTATTTCCTTATTTCATGATAAATGTTTATTATTCATACTAGAATTGTATTAACCGGAAACTTAGTACATGTGTGGATACATAGACAAACAGAGTGTCACTAGTATGTCTCTATTTGACCAGCTCGTTGAATCAAAGATGGTAAAGTTTCCTAGCCATAGACATGAGTTGTCATTTGATTAACGGGATCACATCATTAGAGAATGATGTGATTGGCTTGACCCATTCCGTTAGCTTAGCACTTGATCTTTTAGTATATTGTGCTACCTCTTGAGCACTGCGTTGGTTTTCCTCGAAGAGGAAGGGATGATGCAGCAAAGTAGCGTAAGTATTTCCCTCAGTTTTTGAGAACCAAGGTATCAATCCAGTAGGAGGCTACGCGCGAGTCCCTCTTACCTGCACAAAACAAATAAATCCTCGCAACCAACGCGGTAAGGGGTTGTCAATCCCTACATTACGAGAGTGAGATCTGATAGATATGATAAGATTTGGTATTTTTATGATAAAGATGCAAAGTAAAATAAAAGCAAAGTAGAAAGCAAATGAAATAACTAAGTATTGGAAGATTAATATGATGAAGATAGACTCGGGGGCCATAGGTTTCACTAGTGGCTTCTCTCAAGAGCATAAGTATTCTACGGTGAGTGAACGAATTACTGTTGAGCAATTGACAGAATTGAGCATTGTTATGAGAATATCTAGGTATGATCATGTATATAGGCATCACGTCTGAGACAAGTAGACCGACTCCTGCCTGCATCTACTACTATTACTCCACTCATCGACCGCTATCCAGCATGCATCTAGAGTATTAAGTTAATGAAAACAGAGTAACACCTTAAGCAAGATGACATGATGTAGAGGGATAAACTCATGCAATATGATGAAAACCCCATCTTGTTATCCTCGATGGTAACAATACAATACGTGCCTTGCTGCCCCTACTGTCACTGGGAAAGGACACCGCAAGATTGAACCCAAAGCTAAGCACTTCTCCCATTGCAAGAAAGATCAATCTAGTAGGCCAAACCAAACTGATAATTCGAAGAGACTTGCAAAGATAACTAATCATACATAAAAGAATTCAGAGAAGATTCAAATATTGTTCATAGATAGACTTGATCATAAACCCACAATTCATCGCTCTCAACAAACACACCGCAAAAAGAAGATTACATTGAATAGATCTCCACAAGAGAGGGGGAGAACATTGCACTGAGATTCAAAAAGAAAGAAGAAGCCATCTAGCTAATAACTATGGACCCGTAGGTCTGAGGTGAACTACTCACACTTCATCGGAGGGGCTATGGTGATGATGTAGAAGCCCTCCGTGATCGATGCCCCCTCCGGCGGAGCTCCGGAACAGGCC